GGCCTGGCAGTCCTGCTGGATCTTCCTCAAAACAGCATTCCTTCTTAATCTGGATCTGACCATCTGGTGGGGGAAAAAGTGCACAAAATCGAGACATTATACACAAAGAACCAGCTCAGTTACAATGGTCCAACCAGTCCATAATTTGATCCTCCTGATGTACTGGGAAGTGGCTGTAATTCAACTCTAGGGATGTCAAGAATACTCACTAAATCCTTCATTCTTGTTGATTTCATCTGTTTCAACCCAGTGGGATACTTTGAAGAGGAAGCATCTCCAAACTCCCGGGTTTTTATAACTCTCCTCCAGTGTGAGAGTGAGACAAAGAATTGCATTTTGTTTGTACGTGAGCAGCACTGTTTCTTTTGACAAATCAAAGCATGTGCATGCATGTGCGCATGTACACACATAGACACACAGAGAGAGCAAAAATTGAAAGACTAGTTGTTGTTTTTAACCCATTTAGTGCTTCTAATTTTTGAAATTATGCAAAATTCTATGCAATTTTCATAGGGACAAAGTTGGGAAAGCTATTCAATTTGCAGACACCTTAGTGTGGAGGAAACGGCTCCCTGTCTCACTCTTGCGCTGGAGGCGAGAAATCTTGCTCCATCCGCCTGCAGCGACGAGGACTTACCCAAGAAGACGTGGTTCGGCCTCTCCCTCGCCTTCGAACGCTGCAATCTCCCAACACAAGGCTCCTGTCCCCGCTCAATCCTTAAGATGATATCAGGCTTATGGGCAGCAAGATCTGTGCGTGGAAAAGCCAAGGAGATGTGACCATGAGATTTTCATTATATATACAGTGGTGCCCCACATAGCGACAATAATCCGTTCTGAAAAAATCATCGCTATACAGATTCGTTGCTATGCGGGGCAAAAAAGCCCATAGGAACGCATTAAAACACGTTTAATGCGTTCCTATGGGGGGGAAACTCACCTTAAAGCGAAAATCCTCCATGCGGCCGCCATTTTCGCTGCCCGGTAAGCGAGGAAAGGACGCGAAAATGCTGCAGGCAGCCATTTTTTTTACCTGGCAGCCATTTTGGAACCGCCAACCAGCTGTTTAAAAAACATTGTTATGCAATAATCGGTAAGCGAAACGCTTACCGATCATCGCAAAGCGATGTTTACCCATCTAAAACATCGCAATGCGATCACTTTTGCAATCGCAGAAACCTCATCGCTATCCGGATTCGTCGTTAAACCGAGCAGCTACATGTCTCCAGTAATAGCTTTGTTAAATATGATTAATAAAAATCAATTCAAGGGGGAAGAAAAGGAACTAATTATTATTATGGCAAATGTGGCAAGGCTGATATTTGCAAAGAACTGGAAGAATAACCACCAATTTGATATGGGGAAATGGTATAAAGAATGGTGGAATATGGCCATTGTCTAGTGATAAAATCTGTGAAACCAAGATTAGAACAGAAATGTTGAATATTAATGTTCTTAAAGAAATATGGAATTTATTTTAGGTATATGTGTTTGAGAAAGGGAAAGGGTATACTCCTGGAAATGAAACATTGTACAGTATTTCTGGAGAGAAATGGGGTGTTATAAAACATAATGAAAACACGAAATAGAAAACTAGTCCCAACAGTGATGGAGAAGAGCACAGTTTGATCATTGGAGGGGGAGGGGGGGTCTTTTTAAATCGATACGTTAGTAGTGTTTTGTATAGTTGTTCTTGTTACGTTATTGGAAATTAATAAAATAATATTAATAAATAATATTTAATAATATTTATTTAATTAATTAATAATATTAATTATTTATTAATTAATAAAATATTAATTAATAAAAAATAAACTGGTCAGCTGTGACTTGGGAGATATCCAGTACAACATTCACTGCAAGATGGAACTACAAGGAATAACAAATGTGGGAAATGCTACAGGTTAGGGCTGGGCTGGATGTCTCCCCCCCCCCAATTGACCACCTCACACAAAAGGAAAGGTGAACCAGCTCAGAGAAAAGTGTAGTTTTTCCCTCTGCCACCAGGGCTTCTACTTTTTCTAAAATCAAAATCCATTCATATTGGTTCAAGCATGTGACCGCTTGAACCAATGTAGAAAAGCCACCATAAACTACCATCAATAACTACCTAACGAGTTCAGCATCTCGTAGTTGTCCCTCATCACATCTTTGTAGAGGTTCTTCTGCCAGTCCGTAAGCAATGCCCACTCCTCTCGAGAAAAAGAGACGGCCACTTCCTCAAAAGTTACCGAATCCTGAAAGAAAGGGGAAAAAGCCCAAAGCCCGTCCATACCTCTGACTTACAGTGACCATTTACAGAGTTGACCTGGGAGCGAATACTCAGAAGTGGTGTCCCCTTCCCTTCCTCTAGGGGGCACCCTGGGACTGTGCAGCTGACCAAAGGCCACCCAGGCTGGCTCTTTTCCATAATGGAGAATTGAACCCCCAACCAGGAATTCTGACTGTTGCCCCCCATCTGGGACCAAGATGGGAAATTTAGAAGAATAAAAATTTAATTGTCAGTTTAAATGTCCATACGAACTCAGTAATAGTTAAATAACTGGTACTTTTTTCTCCCGGTCATGTTCCCATCTTGATCTGGAAATGGAAGGATAATAGACTAGAAGTGGATAGAAGAATTTCCTGGACTGTCTGGGATGGAGAAGAGTTACTTAAGAATATGTCCCCTTTTGATTGGGATTTCCTAGTACAATTCTTAGTAAAAACTGTAAGGATCTTCTCGTGAATGTAAAATGAGTGATTAGGCCCATTCTATAGATCCCACTCTACCCTTATGGAGGAAGAGTTAAGACAGGCAGGAAAATGAAAAGGTAGACTATCTTCTTTCAGCAAAAAATACTCTGGTATTAATGCATCACCACAAAGAAGCTGCAGACGGAGCAGATGCCGAGCGTTGTGGCCTGCCCTGCTTTGGGCAATGAATTTTAAAGCAATGAATATTAAAGATGGCAAAATGAGGGCAGCCTGCAGTTAAAATCCTCTGCAACACATCTCTAGACTGGCTGGATAGCTCAGTGGTTTAAGCCTGTGGCAGTAAAACCAGAGGTTGGGAGTTCAATTCTCCGCTTGTGCCTTCCAGGAGAAGAGCCAGCCTAGGTAGCCTTGGGCAAGCTGCACACAGTCCCACAGCGCCCCCAGAGGAAGGAAATGGTAAAACACTCACCGTTTTGGTGCATAGAAATTTCCAGGAGGTTTTGCACCAAGACTAATCCGGAGCAAAGCAGCCCCCGCCCTGCGCAAGGGGGTCACTCTGCCCCCCGAATCCCACCCAAATGTTAGAATAATTATCTTCACCGTTTTGGTGCATAGAAATTTCGAGGAGGTCTTGCACCAAGACTAACCCGAGCAAAGCAGCCCCCACCCTGCGCAAGGGGGTCACTCTGCCCCCGGATCCCACCCAAATGTTAGAATAATTATCTTTTTCAGACCCAGACTCTCAGAATGCAAGGCATAGCTTGAAAAAAACTACAGTGGTGCCTCGCACAGCGAGGTTAATCCGTTCCGGATTAACCCTCGCTGTGTGAAAACATCACTGTACGGATCAAAAAAAGCCATTGGAACACATTAAACTAAGTTTAATGTGTTCCAATGGCTTTTTTTGATCCAATAGCAGCTTTACTTACCGTACAGCTATGTTTCTCCGATGGCCGGCAGCCATTTTCGCACCCTCCCCTCGCTTAATGAGGGCGTGAAAACGCTGTGCGTGGCCATTTTGGGGCTTTGCGCGGCCATTTTGAAGCCGCCAAACAGCTGAACGGCGGGTCGCAAAGCGAAGGTCGGTAAGCGAACCGCTTACCGACCTTCGCTCTGCGATTTTGAGCCATAGGTGCCGTTGGTGTGCGATCGCATTTGCAATCACTAGAATGGCCCTGTTGTGCAGATTCGTCGTTCTACAGTGCACTCGTTGTGCGAGGCACCACTTGCGCGGCCATTTTGAAGCCGCCAAACAGCTGAACGGCGGGTCGCAAAGCGAAGGTCGGTAAGCGAACCGCTTACCGACCTTCGCTCTGCGATTTTGAGCCATAGGTGCCGTTGGTGTGCGATCGCATTTGCAATCACTAGAATGGCCCTGTTGTGCAGATTCGTCGTTCTACAGTGCACTCGTTGTGCGAGGCACCACTGTACTCTACTAGACTCTGATCACATCCCTTTAGAACGAACAGGCAAGACGGGACTCTACTAGACTTTGATCATATCCCTTTAGAACGAACAGGCAAGACGGGATCACAGATGTATTTATTTCCCATATTCCTGTTAGGAGCTCAGGCTCACGAAGACCTCAGCTTTTCCCCCAACCCCACTGGACTACACCGCCCATTGACCCCTGTCTGTCCACCCTGCACTACACCTCTGCTTCCCGGGTGCAAACAGAGAAAAAACCCTGGCCTATTTTACGTGTGTTAAGGGGCCTCACCTGCTGATGGCACGACAGAAAATCACAACATCACAACGAATAAGCAGAAGGCCACAATACTGTATGAGGGTTGCAAAGACAACCACAGCCCAAATAAATAAAACTCAATAAACATGGATTTGCAGAAGGATTTGCAGAATCTCTTTACAAAATAAATTCTGTTTTGCAGAAGGTTGCGGCGTGCAAACATCTCCTACCTGAGGCATCGCTCCGGCCATGTTGCCCCCTTGATGCTCTGGGGCGTGAAAGCGGGTTTGCGTGTCCGTCCGGCAGCCCTGGAACCCTCATGAGCGAAGAGGGACTCAGCGTTCTCCTTTCGCTGGGGATCCTTCCGTGGCCGAGACAAACGCCGAGAGGAGAGGACGAATCGCAGCTCCGATGCCTGCCAGGAAAATTAGAACCATGGTCTAAAATCAGACAGGAGAGCTATTCCAAGTTTCCCAACCAGGGGGGAAAAATACTGTACAACGTTTCTGGCTTTGAATAAATTTGCATGAAGCTGATGCAAATCGCCTTTTTTGCTCCAGAGAGAAGGGAAACTCCCTCCGACAGGATTTGTGTAAAGGGAACTTTTCTGTCACCCCAATGGGCCCGGTTTCGCATCGAGAGGCTTCAGCCTTTGGAAAGAGGGGAGACCTGGGCCGGGAAGGTTGACTTTTTTAGGAGCAACGGTGAACTCTGCTCCCCAAAAGGACGACCCTTTCGCCCGGCTCTAAAGCAAAGAATCGTCCCTGGAGTCGACTTCGAAAGTCGAAAGGCGCCGGTTTCACCACACAAGGGACCGGCGGCCCTTAGGAACAGCCAGCCCCGCTCCCAAAAAGTTAAGGATCACCGATGGATGTCAAAGAAAGCATTTCTCCCTGGGGTTGGACCCCAGGCCGGCCATCAACGTCCTCCAAACCTGAGAAACGAGGGTTTTTTTCCCCCTCACTCTCCCAAAGCCCACCAGTGTGGATGCCCCATCCTTGCATTGAGCCGGGGGCTTAGATTGCTCCCAGAGGTGTAGTGTACCCAGGGCTTGGAGGTGTGACACCCCAGGGCTTTCTGAGTAGCAGGCACTACGACACCCATCTGCCACCATCCTACAGCTGCCTTATTTCCTCCGAACTGATCACCCCTCTCAGTAGCTCAGGAGAGCAACGGATCTCCCCTTAGGGATACTGCATGACTAAAGGAACTCCATTCCAATGCGACTGACATGAGGGAGGCTAGGTCTTGAACGAGTCATTAAAACCCGCTGACTTTACAAAAGACCTGTTTGTCATTTTTTTTATGGTCATCCATCCAGCTGTGGAAGGGAAATCCACATTTCTGGGAAAGCCTGATGCTGCCGTTCTGAGATAGACTGCTGTACTCTAGGAAGGTTTCATTTCACAGTTGTCCCCAATCAGCCTGGACTTTATTGTTTTAATAAAGCTGTTGGCCCACCAGGATATCTGGAATTCTACAAGTGAAGAAATGTTTTGAAAAGCCATGCGGTATAGCAGAGAGAAAGTTGGACTCAGAAGGACTGGATCCAAACCGCTGGCTCACTCACGGAAATTCACTGGGGGCACAGAATTGGCGAAACCGCTCTTTGATCATATCAAACACTAGGTTTACCCACCAACCCTCGGTATGCGCATGAACACAGCGATGCTTATGGGCGTGAGAGAGGAACAATCTGAATTTCTTTTTAACAGACGAGTCACACCAAAAGCCACCTTTATAAGTTTCCCTTTTAGAAATAAAGCTTCAGTCCTGGGGGAAAAAAATAGCACAAACGTTTTCACACATACACACAGCAGCCCATTCAAAAGCCAGGCTCTGGCATCCCAGCTGATGCATGCAAATTATATGCAAACAGCCCACGCAGCCTGTGCAGCTTAAAGATGCAAATAAGCCACAGCCCCTCTGGCTCCTGAAGCGTTTCCATGGCGTCCCTCTCTGGACTGAGCGTGCTGGCCATCGTTGCCGCAGCGTGACGTCATGAAGCTCAGAAAAGGGGACTGTTTGGACAGCTTGTAAAATCAGTGTGTTGAAAAAATGAAAACAGTTCCAAAGTTCTTTCCTATGCCCTGGTGTGTGTGAAATTCAGAGATTCGATAGTAGACCGTAAAGAGGAAGTAATTTTGCCAAATTTCAGGCAGCAAGATTCAGAGTAAAACATCTTTAAACTCTGCTTTAAAATGAAAATTAGCAGGCCAAAGCTATTGAGGGCTCATCTGACAAAAGTTATTGTAGTACTCTGGACTCAAAAACTGGTGCATAAATGTATTCATCTTCACTTTGGAAATGGATCTAGATCTCTCGCTTCGGACTTGAGACAAATCTGCCTGAAGCAAGCCAAATCAGTTCGTGATTCACCCTTTGTCTGAATTTGCTGCACAGTCTTATACAGTATAGGGCGAAGACGGGGGGGGGGAATGGGGCCCTTTGGCTGCTGTGGGACTGCAGCTCCCATCAGCCCTACCAGCTTTTATGCCAGTAATGAGTGATGATGGGTGTTAGAGTACACCCCTTCTCATCTAGGGACAGGGCTGGACAGAAGCTGGTTACTAAATATATTAAATGTGTGTGCGCACACACACACACACACACGCTAAATATATTAAATGCGCGCGCGCACACACACACACACACACAGAGTTATTGTTTGTATCCTCGTATCCTGCCTTTTGCAGGTTTGGCTGGGAGGGACCTTTGCTGGGCAGGGGTGGCTGTCCATCTATCCAGCGCTAACCAATCCCGTTCCTTCCTTGCCTCTTCATTCAAAGAGAGCCCCGCCTCTCTGCTCTGGATCCCTTTCCCTCTCTGTTGTCTGCTGGAAGCAGGGCTAATCTGTCGAGGCCTGTGGCCTGAAGCCCTCCCCGTTCTGTCAGCTTTCCTGCTTGATCTGTGGCATGATTATAAGTAAAGAAAACAGTTTGATTCCGTCTACCACGAATGTCTCAGAGTGAGTTGTTGGGACTGTAAGTGCCAGTTAAGGAAAAAAACACTGTCTCCTCTGGGGTACCCGAGCCTCTTCTGTTTTGGAGTCCTTGTACTTCTGCTGTGCAGCCAGAGGAATTTAACCAAAAATTCAAAACTCTGCAATATGCACCATTTTTTATCTCTCCATTTCTAGGACATATTTGCCTGACCCCTCTTGTTCTGGAAGGAAAGTCCCCACCACCTTCGCGGATCCTAACACGGGGACAGCCAGGTTCACCCCTGCATGGCCAGATCTGTCCATTCCCAAGTGATCCTTGCCGTTCATTTTACTCTCCAGAGGAAGAGAATCCCTCACGGCCATCTTTCGGGACCTACAGAGAACCGGCGTGGGGTCGCCGGCCACCCAACCGGCTCAGCCACTTTCTGCTGGAAAGGCAAATCCACACCCATTTCAATGAACAAATACTGTACATGCAAACGATCCTGCTCTCTCCCTCTCCCCTCTCCAGCTGCCAAACCTTAGCAACAAACAATAGGCCGCTTTAAAAACATGTATACATTTAAATGAATTAACATATTCAAATAATCCAGGACCAAGGTTTTCCCTCTTGTTTTTAGAGGAGGCTTGTTTATAGGCAGATTATGAAACCCAATTCCCCACCCGGCACGGTGCACGCCATCCGTAGGAGAAGGCGGCCGTCCGGCGGTGCTCTTGGTCTTTCAGTGCAAATCCCATGGAGTTCAATGGAACTTACTCCCAAGCAAACTTGCTTAGCGGTGTGTTCTTAATTCGACTTGGGGGCCAACCCTCCATCGGTTTTTAGATCCTAATTCCTGTAACCACGGCTGTTGGGAACAGGGTCTATTGCTGACGGGAAGGCTACGCATTTATCCATCCTAGTTAAACCTTCAAGAAAGAGACAACTCAGAAGTTCGGGTTACAAAAATGGAGAAAAATCAAATCGTTCTGGATGAGAAAGAAATCTGGAAATTTCAAAATCGTTACACATGTGCATGAGGTCCTTTACCCCGGATCCAGCTTTGGAGATGGCAGAGAAATCACAACCAGCCTAAACTGCGACCATCGAACCCCAAATAGGAGGTCCCATTTTTCCACCCATGTGTCAGCTTGTTACCAGCCCTCCCCTGTAATTTTGAATTACAGAGATCTGCAGAGGTGAATAGCTTCAAGTTTCCCCAGGCTGTCCACCCCTTTTTCATTAACTGACACATACAGTCTCAATAACTTAACCAGAGACATTTGTAGGAGAAAGAGTAAAAAAAGCAGTCCACCCCTTTCTCATTAACTGACACGTACAGTCTCAATAACTTACCCTGAGATATTTGTAGGAGAAAGAGTAAAAAATATTCCATGACCTACAGTACTGAACAAAATCAACAGCAAACAAGCAAACCCGGCTTCCAACAGACTAAAGAGAGGAGAAGAAAGCTCCCAGCAGAGAGGCGGGGCTCTTTTCGAATTCAGAAGCAAAGAAGGAACAGCTGCTTAGTGCCGGGCAGATTGCCCCTCCCAATCACTCATACCCGTAGGCAGCATGCAAGATTGCAAAAACTCCAACAGCTGGAGGATATGAGCTGTTCTCCCTTAAAGCAAGCCAATCGGTGCTGCAAAAATAATTCCAGTCTGTCCCCCAGAAACAGTAGCCCTATCGTGGGGCGGAAAAGGTCCAGATTGGACACGGGGCATAATTGGGTGGCTCCGTGATCTCCAGCGCATCATCGTGTGATCGCCAGAAAAGAGGTCACCCTGGATCATAACATCAGGTATCCAAAATGCAAGCTTTTCCTCCATGTGATTGCGTCCTCTCTTCCTTCGCTGTGTATCTATGACAAGGGCTGGACTAGATGACCCAAAGGGTCCCTTCCAGCTCTGCAGTTCTAAGATGATGGTGATGATGATGATGACCTCCTAGAAATTTGCATTTTTAACACCTGGGCTTGTTCTACTGAGGACGGTTTTAAGCAGGGCAGATTTTGACCGTCTGTAGGGAGTTCAAGAGAACATGTTATATCTGTGTCTCCTTTTCCTTACACTTACGTAAATCACTTCCGATCCAATCTCCTTTGGAAAGCGAGAGGCAACGTGTGCATTTAATAAAGAGTTTAAGTGGGGTCTAAAAATCTTGGAAACTGAATTTCTGTCTCTTGTATGTATGTTTGGGGAGGGAGGGTCATCAAACTCCAAATGCTATGAATCTTAAGTCCATTTAAATATAGCAAGTCCCGATGTCCCACATTCTTCCAGCAAGACTGAACTTCATTTTAGGTAGCTTGGAACTGTGTTTCGTTACCAAAAGTATCCCTTACTGTCTGCATTTAAATTGCGAACAAGTTCATGTCCTACCCATTTTACAAGGGAGGGAGACTAAGATCAACTACAGCCTCTTTCTATCGCTTTCAGAGTTCAAACCCCCTCCGTGGGCATCGTCTGTAATCTTGATACGAAGACCGTACAATGACGTCGCCCCACCTTGCAAGACTGTTGGGCTGCCTTCCCTCAATGTCAGTATTACAGGGAAGGAAAACGGGGTGCCGTGAAGCTTGCCCCGGCCTTCCATAAACCAACCTCTTCCCTTCAGCAGAGAAGGAGAGGCTGCCTCTCCTTGCAGGGCGAAAACCCAACCCCATCGCCCACTCAGTCGGCTTCTGTCCCTGCAATCTTGTTCTCATCCTCAGGCAGCAAAATATTTCGGGTCAGCCCCAGTGGGCCTGGGTGACTGTCCGTACATACAGAGAAAAGACAGTTCCTGCCGCAGCCATCATCAAGTCAGGGCCTGGTTGCCAGTCTGGCCTGATCATCCTCAGAATTATCCACTTCCCTACAAACAATTACATCAGTTTTCGGTTCTTCGTTATATTACCTGCCACTGTGCTATTACCTTCCTTTCATTACCTCTTACGCTATGCAAGCCGTCGTTGTAATGTATGCCAAGTGGGACAAGCAGGATGGGAAATTTAAAACGCCATACTCTTCAATGGAACTTCCACATCCAGGAGCAGTCTATCTGGATGCCTGTGCTTTTTGGGGGGGGGGTGTGTCAGATAACTAGCGAAGCTTTGTATGCCCCAAAGCAGCCCCCAAGCTATGCATGTTTGGCCTGGGACACATTTCACGCCCTTCAGGAAGCATAACTCCCTGGAAAAATTGACTCCTAAACCGAGTTTTGGCCTGACCTAGCAGGGGTCCTCTTACGTGTAAAAATCGCTTTCTTTTTTCTTTTTTTAAAATGCAGTGTTGAAAGAACTAATCCGACTAGCTTTTTTAATGCCTCAACCGCTGAAGGTGTCCCCCAGGACCAGCCTTCCACTCAGTGCTTGGAAAAAGTTTCATTTTTGGACTACAACCACCAGAATCGCCAACCAATGAGCACTTTTCCACACTGGGGCTGTGGGTTTAAAAAATAATAATCAAAAGAAAGACATGAAAGTGTCAAATCCCTCCTCTCCCCCCCCCCAAAAAAATCTCTTTAAGATCAGGATTACACCCGAGAGTTACCTCTTCATCTCTGGATGGGGAAAGGGGGATTATGAGACCCTTATATCTCTACATCCACACATACACAGCCAGTGCACAGCCCCATGTGTGTGTATGTTGGGTGCTGTCAATTCCCATCCGACCTCTGGAAGACCCTAAGAGGAGCTTTCAAGCTGTGGGACATTTAAGAAGCTTTCACCAGGCAGTCCCAACCAGTGTCCAGGACAGAGGCGGGGATTTGAACCCAGGTCTCCTGAGTCCATCCCAGCCAGCGTCCAGGACAGAGGTGAGGATTTGAACCCAGGTCTCCCAGGCCATCAATCTATCCACAGATCTTGGCGCCTCCAAAGCATTTGCAGGAA